CTCCCTTGGCATGGGGTCTGACCTCGTTCACAGGGGTCACAAAAGTGCACTTTAGGTCCAACAGCTACAGCTGACACAGTGTAGTGCATTAGAGAAAGAAGAAGGGAAAAAAACCCTCAATTTTTTTTTTTTAAACCTTAACCTCTGACTGTAACTGAGATTTTCTTCTAAGAGAATCAAAGTGTAAAGCCAATTTTTTGGCCTCTCAGCCTGAGAGTCGGAGTCTTTGTGTCAGTTCAAGTTTCTGCATTCCTGTTTCATCCTGTGTTCCATAGCCTGAGAGTCGATTTGTATTTTTTTTATTTATTTATTTATTTAGTTATTGTTGAATCAAAAATAATGTTTTTTCCTCCAGTTCCTCAGACGTGACAATCAATCAACGTTTGTCATTATCACTGCTCTCCAGTCTGGATCTGTGCTGGATCTGTGCTCTGTGAACATGTCAAAATGTTTTACCAGGATTTTTTTTTCTTTTTTTTAAACATTGTTTTATCTTGTTTCATGACCCACATCCTGGCTTTTCCTTTTGTCTTCTTTCATTTTTCATTTATTTCTCCTATTTCTCTGTTTTGTTCTTGTTGTGTTTGTTACCTCCTTCCCCTCCTCCCCCGTTCCTGTGCAGGCTGCAAAGATGCAGTGGAGCTTAAATGAGAAAGTAGGAAGCTCCAGAGGCGGCAGGGTGAGCAGGCCATTTGTGTGTGTTTTCATGTCGGTGGTGTGTGGCACCGCTCAGTGGTTTGACTTAATGTGGCGTTAATTTGCCTCACATGGCTGCATCAGTGCGTGTCTGCAGAAAATGTCATGATTCCTCATTTTAATGGCAAACCACTGTGCTGCCGGGTGACGTGGCTCCTACTAACTTTAGCCGAGAGGAACATCTCAGACAGTACTTACTGTTCAAGTAGTGTACGGCTAACATAGAGTTGTGTGTCATTTCGTCAAGATTAGCATGTTCAGTCTGTAGTGAGCTAACATACAGTAGCTTAGCCAGTGTGTTTGTGTGTGTCCACACCTGGGTGATGATTGTGTCAGTGTGTGTGGGGCTTCAGTGATTTATGGTGGGTGTTGGATCACAAAATAATCCAGGGTGGCTTCCTGTGAAATCATCATGCCATACTAATTATTTAACTTAAATTGACTTTTTTTTTCCCCCTGTTGTTGATTACTTTATTTCAAGGTCAGTTTTCTAAGGTGTTGATTTTATGGTAAGACATTGACATAGCCATGTCACTGCTAATGTGATTTTCCCAGGAGTTTACCAGAAGAGCTCCTGCTTGTTCCCGCTGTGACTCCATATGAATTGAAATCTATTTGAAAATGAGGCTACACACCACTGGAGTTATGAGCTCAGTGTCGGCTACAGGCAGCATCGACTGAGCCCAATCAAATTTGATATGGTTTTGGTAACTCCTCCAGGAGGAATCATAAGATGTCAGGACATACAGTCTCCAAGGTCTTTAAATATACCATTCAGTGTTAGCACTGTACAAATGCAATTTGAGAGACCAGCGTGATGTTGAATCACTCGGGTGGTCTCCCTTTCTTTACTGATTTTTTTCTAAATATAATTGTTTTCAAAAGTGACTTTGGTCACAGGATATGCTAACTGTTCTGTAATTTCATTGTCCAGTCATGGGTCACAAAGGGCTAGGATGTTGATCAGTATGAGCATGATATTGTCATCATGCATCTAGTCCTAGTACAGAAAAGATCTGCAGTCTCAACTTAAACTTTCCTTAAGAAATATATGTAATGTTATTGATGTCAGGGTGACTGTCAGAGTCAGGCTCTCAGACACCAAGTAGATGAGGTTTATGTTTTGATATATTGCTAGAGAACAGATGACTTTTATTGATTTATTTTTTTCCTGCCTGAAGGCTGGAGATTTTACTCTTGCTGCTCAAATCACAACATGAGCATATTTATGGCCTGGCTGAAGCATCAAACATCCAACCAGTGTGTTTGTTTACACGGAGGAAACGGTCAGCGCTTTCTTGTCGCTATTTAACCAAGCCCAAGACTGCAGGAAATGTCCTAAACATCCTGCTCTGTGTTCATTTGTAAGTGGACCGTAGGAGTCTCTGCCCATCTAGGAGTCACTGTGTGGTTTATTAAGGAAAAGGAAAAAGAAATTAGATTTTTTATGTCATCTTAAGTGTTTTTTTTTTTCAGCAGAGGTTGATACTGTAATATGTGATTACATCATGGTAAAAGTCCTGGCATCGTAAAAAATGATTGAAATGATTTAGATCACCGGCTGATTGGACAGATTTGTACCCAGCAGTCATGGAGTTTGGAGAACACTCAGGACAGTTCTCCAGTCCGTAACATGGCCAGTTATAGAGACAAACAACCATTCACACTAACATTCACACCTTTGGTGAATGTAGAGTGAATAATTGACTTAATCTTTTGTGTGTTTGCAAAGTGGGAGGAACCTGGAAAGTACCCGAAAAAGACCCATGCAAGATCGAAGCACAAAACCTGCTGCAGGAGATGTGCTGACATCTGTTGCCACCGTGTGGCGCCTGTTCAATAGTTCAATTACTTTAGAGACAGAAGTAGTAGAAGATGAATTAACTTTATTGGTCATTTAAATCCATAAAAATGTTTGGATCAAACTGACCTTCTGACGGCGAACCAAGCCTGTTAAAAGTGGTTTCTGGTTAAAAGGGCTTTTCTCCATTGGAATCACTGGGTTGGTTGTATTTGGTCAGAACCCAGGGTCTCCTGTGTGTGTTGTAAACTCACCGGTGACCAAGATTCTGCTCCGATTCAGTCAGGTTATTCATTGACTTCAGCTAAGTGGTAGGTTTCCTGCTTCTATAGTTGTCCCTGTTGACTTCCAGATAAGTAGGACAATGTCTGGCTCTGGTGAATGTGTGTTGTTTGTGTGTGTGTTCAGACTAACCTTTTCTAACAAAGCCCCGTTTGCCCCCCTGGCCCCCTCTTAAATAAACCTTTGAATGAGACGGTCTGAGCTGTGAGAGTGGAACTCACCGGTGGTAACCTCCTCTCTGTTTGTGTCCCACCCTCTACTACCCCGAAAACCCTTCCCTCTGTGCTTCTTTTGATTCTTTTAATTTTGGCCGATCCTGACCACGTTCAGGATCTACAGCAGGTGATGGTGTCGGGTCCCAATCTGAACGAGACCAGCATCGTGTCAGGGGGTTATGGAGGAGCCGCAGAGGGAATCATACCCACCAGCTCGGTCAAAGGTAAAGTCCTGTTGTTTCAGAGGAAATCAGTGACACTAACGCCTGATCGTCATGTTTCTGAATCTGTGTCCAACTCTGTCAGGACCTGCTGTGAGCTACAACGCAGACTTTAACAAAAGGATCCCAGTTACAGGACTAGGTAGCTCCTCCGCACCTGATAGAGCTGGAAACAATGAGCGGATTTCCAAAATGGGATTTGAAACATGTTGAAGTTGCACAGGATTTTCATGAAATATAGATATAGAGTATTTACTGAAACTTTAATGCCAGTAAATATCCAAGCGTCGACAAGTTACTAAAAACAAATAAGTTAAATGGACTCGACACCTGGGACATTATAGTTTCTCACACTGACCCCATGTGGTCAGACGATTGTACCACAGTTGTAATCTCTTTGTGTGTGTGAAGACTTATTCTCAAAGACTGGATAAGAACCTTTGAATGTGTCACCGACCTTTTTTTTAATTTTTAGTATTTGATTTTAGTATTAGCGACCTCTGGTGTCAAAGGGTATTTTACTTTTTAAGCCCGTTCAAAAATGGACACATGGTAGTTAAAGACTAATTCTCATGTGACGAACCTCCTTAAATCCTAGTTTGGAAAGACGATCATGGGGGATGGAGCAGAGTGTGACCTCTGTGTGTAACTGGCAACTGTTTTCTTGAACATAGGTGTGGTTTGGGATCAAGATTCTTTACTAACACTCTTTTTTTGTGTCTTTTCTGTTTTATATTTTATTATGACTTTAAACTTATCAATCTTCTTGGTCAGTGATGAGGAAAGTCTTTTGTCATAGCTGGAGTCTGTAGACTTTAGATCGTGTCCTGCATTATTTATTTCCTCTTCAAAGGAAGGCTGATCCATCATATTCAGTGTCACTCATCTTTTGGTCCTGCTGCAGATCAGTCGGCCCCCGTCTTCACCGCCACTCATCTTTCTACATTGTTCACTGTCACACACTAAACTTTGTCTTCTCATCTCTGTTCTTTTCTTTCTTTCTCTCACATCCCCTCCTACACTCCCTCCTCCACTCTGTTTATTTATTTGTTGTTGTTTTTTTTTGGCTTCTCTTCTGAATTTCCCTGCTAATGAAATTCCTCCTTCACTCTCATCTACACAATCATTTCATTCCATGAAAACAACCACAAACCAATTCCCACTCACCTAATGCATTCCCACCCCTCCACCCCCTCCCCATCGACCAACCGTGCGCTGTCGCAGAACTGCGTATGAAGGCCAGGAGAAGTAGTGTTCCTCCACGCACTTCTGTCAGCAGCCATACAGCAGGTCCATCACATGAATGCAAAGGTACTGCAGAGGAGAGTAGTGTGTATCCACGGTAAAATTCTGTCCTCTGCATATTTTTTAAAAAATCAATTAGGTTAGCTTTAGTTTAGCAGTGACCCATAATATCCATGCACAGACATGAATATTGTCACGTCAGTCAAGAGTGTTCCTCCGTGTTCCAATCATCCCTTAACTGTGGTTTAACACAGTGGTTCTCAAACTTTTTTACACCAAATACAACCTCTGAAAACATTGGGCTCTCCTTGTGCAATACCTGTATGTCCCAACAGCTGTCGCTGTTCAGTTAAGCACAGTATTTGAGAAGCGAATATTAACACTGGTACTCAGATTTAATTCTGTGCTGAGCTGAACTCACACAACAACCGACACACATTGTTAGCAAGAATATATAAAAACTGTTCTTTTCGATTTCTATTCCTCTTTTTGAGAGCCCAAGTATCACAGCTGGTTCACGTACCATAGTTTGAGAATCACTAGTGTTGTACCTGGAGTTGGTGGTGGGTTTGAATTTTGTGGGAAAAGAATCATTCTGGAAAGGGATTTTTTTTCTGTTAAAAATCCACTGATTATACGTAAGAAATGGATGTAGTTACTTGGAATGTGGCTCAGTTAAAGCAGCCATCGCTCAGATAACTGCAACATTGACAGTTGAATTGACTGCTATCAATCACAGTGCAACATTGACAGTTGAATTGACTGCTGTCAATCACACAGACATCTCACATGTCCATTCATTTGCTCCAACCCTAAAAAATATTTTCTTCTAACTCCACTGGAATACTTTGGGTTAACTTTAAGAACGTTGATGAGTTCATGGCTACATCCATTTCTTAATTGTATTCTGTTCATTAATGTTGATGTCTGACATGTGACCCCCCCCCTCCCTGCCACCTGTCTGTGACCTGTCAGGTTCCAACATGCACCACAGCAGCAGTAGCTCGTCACTGACGCCGGATGAAATGAGCCGCGGCGTGGCTGTGGAAAAACTAGAAACGGTGAAGAAGTGGGGTCTCAACACCTATAAGGTATCTACGGTTTTGTGTTGTTCCAGTGTTTCTCATGACACGGAAATGAAATCTTCTGCTGATTTTATTTATTTTTTTTGCCAGTGTACGAAACAAATGCTCTCAGAACGTTTTGGTCGGGCTTCCCGGACCGTGGACCTGGAGCTGGAGGCTCAGATCGAAGTGCTGAGAGACACAAAGAGGAAATATGAGAACGTGCTGCGACTGGCCAGAGCACTGACCAACCACTTCTACAACATGGTGCAGACGCAGCACGCGCTGGGTGACACCTTCGCCGACCTCAGTCAGAAATCTCCAGAACTACGGGTGAGGCAGCAACGATTTAGGGACGCGACGCAACAATGTTGGACTCCTGAAAAGTAGTGTTTTTTATTTTTATAACCCGTTTCTCTGTGTTGTTTTGTACAGGATGAGTTTGGCTACAATGCAGAGACTCAGAAGTTGCTGTGTAAGAACGGCGAGACTCTGCTGGGTGCCGTTAACTTCTTTGTGTCCAGCATCAACACGTTAGTCAACAAGACGATGGAGGACACGTTGATGACCATCAAGATGTTTGAAAGTGCCAGGTAATGTGCCACACAGTACAGTACAGTCTATTCACATTTCACATCATCACTTGAATGATTGCTTTTCATTGATGACTTTTATTCAGACTGGAGTTTGACGCTTACCGGTCAGACCTGGAGGAACTGAGTTTGGGTCCGAGGGATGCTGTAGCCATGGCCCGTATAGACGATGCTCAGCAGGAGTACCAGGTGCAGAAGGACAAGTACGAACGCCTGCGTTCAGACGTCATCATTAAACTCAAGTTCCTGGAAGAGAACAAGGTGACCTGCAGCAGGAACTGTCTCTTTGGTGATGAAATTACACAAAACACTTCTGACCTTTTTCTCTGCTCCCAGCCGGAACTGTCTCTGTGATGAAATTACACAAAAGACATCTGACCTTTTTGTCTGCTCCAATCTCAGGTAAAGGTGATGCACAAGCAGCTCCTGCTCTTCCACAACGCCATCTCCGCCTACTTTGCTGGCAACCAGCAGCAGCTGGAGCAAACACTGAAGCAGTTCAACATAAAGCTGAGGCCCCCGGGGGCAGACAAGCCCTCCTGGTTAGAGGAGCAATGAGAGGGCCCCCGTTGCTGGACCTCCTCCTGCAGCCTCCTCCTCGACCACCACCGCTCCACCTGTTTCCTGTTGAAACCCCAACGTACAGAGGACCAGAACAGAGGGAGGACACGTGCAGACAAATGGGTGGATGAAGGAGAATGAGACGATTGTGAGGCTGGATGATTGGACAGATGAGTGGACGATGAATCACAGGGTGTTGGTGAAGAACGTGCTGATGCAGCAGGAAACACGATGCCAGTTGAATGAACAGTCTCTCTTGGGGCTTTTTATTGCCACCACTCCTGATTGTCTTTTTTTTTTCTCACTCCAACTTCGTTCTTGTGCTTCGTTCCCTTCTTAGTTTCTCCCCTTTCTCTCATCTCCTCCTCCGTCTAACTCTCCATTAATGTTCGCCGTGTCTGTTCTTATGTTGTTCATATTTATGGGCTATTGTTGTTCTCCCGTAGAACTGAGCTACAGTTTGACCCCGGACCTTGGTAGCAACAGAGACAGGTGAGGAGAAAACGGATTCCTATCTCCCTAACTATACCTGAAATACTAAATTAATTTTAAAAAGTACACACAGAGGGATGTGCACTATTCACTGGAAGAGCAAAGAGCAGCACTGGATCCCTTTTTATAAATACATCTATAATTATTTGTAGATTACAACAAAAAAGATTTATGTTTTAGAGTTTGTTTTAATTTGAATGTTGCTTCATTTTCTAACCACTTCTATATTTTATTTCTGGCCTCAGAGTAAGTGAAGAATAGTTCTCAGACAGCATCGACCGTGGGGTTTAGACATCAACCAAAAAGTGCCCCGGGTGACAGTAACAACATGGGACGTGACATCACTTTGCATATCCACTCATTTTAAGATTCTTACATCGATGCCCATCAGTCACTGCTTTAAGCTGAGGAAATACGACCAGATTTTTTTTTGCCAAATTTCTACCCATGATTGTCAGTCCACTCTGGTCTGTACTAGTTGTGGTCGGCATTGCCTGACCTGACCTGATCTGATCTGATCTCATTTGCCATAAAACAAACACATTTGGATCATGTGACGTCATTACATAATGAACTGCAAACACATGTTGCCAACAGCCAATAAAAAAAGAGAATAATAACAAGATAATCTCAATGATTGTAAACAGAGACCAGCAAACCTGCACCACAGAAACTGAGATTATAAAGACTAATGAGCTTTTGGCAGGAGCACAAGTGTCTTTATAAAGTTGGTAACAGAGCAAACCTCCCTGGATCTGAACGCATCGCCTGGTTTGTAGTTGGATTGGCAAATCATGTCGTTGGTATTCCCTTATTGGATGCAGTTGTTAGGTGTGTGTGTGACTCCCCAATCCTTCTGTTGCCATGCTAAAATCTGCTCATACCAGTCCATCAGTGTGGACTCTTCTGTAATGACTGAAATCGTCTTCTGCAGCTCCTGAGTTCATCAGATTCTGCATCAGGAGAAACTCTGCAGCTCACTTTGTCAGCAAACATTTCCCTCTCACCGTGTAACAAACTGTATCTGTGTTCCTCCAACCCGGGGGGTTTTTCAAAGCCTGACATTGTCAGCCAAACGCTTTTTTCCTGTATTAGTTAATTTAGCTGTTTTTCCCAAATCCTCCAATCTTTTTTTTTCTGTTTTTTTTCTTCACACTCTCTAGTCCCAGGAGTCTCAAAAGATTTTTTTTTCAATAATGATTTTGTTTGAAATTGGGTTTGAAAAAAAAACAAGCGTCTATATCGCCCTCTAGAGTCTGCTCATGGAAATTCTAGCTGGACCCCAGTGTGTCAGATTCATTTGTAATGTGCATGTGGTCAGTATAAAAAAGTCTTTTGAATCTTTGTATAAAACCTTACGGAGAGTTCATCATTCCACATTGACTTCTAAATTTGCTCAGACTGCATCAACGTATATTAAATTGGGGTTGATTACTACGATAAGAAACTATACACTTTATTAACAATTCTGCACACTGAAGATGAAAATAGCTGTGCATAAATTACAAATACTAATATTTTAACATTAAATATTTTTATTTTTGGTGATCAGTTTAGTAGTAGTGGTGTGTATTTTTTGTTTTTTGTTTTTTTTTGTCTCTGTTGTTCCAATAGAATACAATCATACATTTTTGACAATTACAAACCTGTTTTTGCTGCAAAAAATATAATTGTAGCACAAATGTAAAGATAGAATATTATGTAGAAATGTATTTATTCATTGGTTGTATTTTATTAATCTATTGAAATTGACTTATTTCTACACTGGAACCTGAAAATTGTGCTAATTACTTGATTTATCTACAATATCACGGTTTTGCGCAAAAGTCTTGGGCCACTTTTTGGAAATATATTTTCTAGAATATATTAAGCAGATGTTATTATATAACCCCTTCATACGATTAATCAGCTTGCAAGCGGAAAATGATCTGGTGACCAAAGAGGTTGACGTTAAAGAAAACAAGAGGAAGCCAAATCAAAACTTCACATTTAGTTTCTCTCTGAGCTTTTACTTTGAGAAAAAAAAAAAAATCAACACCTTGCAGTTTTTGTCCGATGCCAATTTAAACAATTTCCCAGTCCAAACAAGCTTGGTCCAAAGTTGTCCCCCTGAAGGACGGCAGCCAAAAAGTTTTTATTTGGTTTTAAAGTATTGGTCTAAAGTGCCAACTTTCAATATGTTTTTTTGAAGATGTCTGGTAAAATTTGCAGTACCTGATTATTAACTTGTGTCTTTCATCATCTGTCTTTCATAGTACGCTACTTTGTTTTGTTGCATCTTGTTATAATTCAATAATTCTTGGCCATTAAAACTCTGCATAATTTCCCGCTTGTTGCAGCTTCAAGACTTTTGCGCAAGTGCTGTCAAACCTATTTGCAGAAGACAAACTCAAATGAAAGGTTGAATTAATCTTGTTTGAAATGAAGATAATCCTGTGTCATTAACATTTATCCATGCTGCTTTTAGCATCACTTAACGGTTTAAGTGTTCTGGCTATTTTGCATTTTCAGGCAGATGTAGATCAATAGTAAAAAGTGCAGATGTGTGTGAACGCACTTTTGCCTTTCCACGCTGACAAAACTGCTTTTAGTTCACGGAAATGATCAGAAAAAACAGATTGTTTCACTTTAACTTGAAAACAAAGATATTCTTCTTCTTTTATGGATCTCCTTTGTTAAAAGTGAAAGGTCTGTAAAATCCTGGTCTCATTTTAGACTTAGTTTACTGTTACATTTTTCCAGCTCACAGTTTGTTTAACCATCACACAGCAATATTAAAAACAAAATCTGACTCCTTTTTTCCCATCCCTAAGAAAATCCCTCTCCCTAACAATGGAAAAAGGATTTATCAAGGAAGAAATGTTATTGGTGTACAATCAATGTTTCCCCAGGTGGCGCTGGCTGATTGTACATTAGATGTTGAGTAAAGACTCTGTCAAGGTTTGATGTAAACTCTGCCTTTTTTCCCTCTTTCAGACCTAAAAAAAATCCCCACCACATTTCCAATGGAACACAATTAAAAGAAGACATTTTCAAATGTTCTGCTTAGATTCTCTGTTTTGTGTATTTACTGTACATGTATGTTATTGACAGGACGACCAGTTTGCGTGCTCCGCCACCTAAGGTTATGTATGTTCTTTTATTTCTGTTGCTCACCATGAGGGGTGGGGGGTTTGAAAGGTGGCTTTTTACCTCACTGTGTAATGTTTTTAATTGGATTCCAGTAGCATTTTAGTAACCATCTTTGGCTTACCTCCAGGTATTTATAGGACGATTTTAAGAATCAAACTTTACACAAATTACAAATCTGTAATTTGTTTATTTTTGCCATTCCCTAAACTTCTTCCTGGCTTATTTTTTGATTTTATAGCGTAGTTTTAGTTGTAAATGGGATGTTATATTTAGGCTATTTTTAGTTAGAAAAAATTTTATTTAGATTTTTGTGACTTTTTGTAAAATGCACTGTTCATTTTTTAGTTAGAAAAAATTTTATTTAGATTTGTGTGACTTTTTGTAAAATGCACTGTTTTTTTTTTCATTTTAGTCTAAGTTTAGCATTTTCCCCCTAGTGTTTTTTTTCTTTTCTTTTCATTTTAGTCTAAGTTAGCTACATTTTATCTTTCAGCTAAGAGCAGATTTAATGATATCTTTAGTTTAAGCTGTTTCTCATTTATGGTTGTGTAATAACCTATTCTGGCATTTTGTTACTTTTATTTATGTGTTTATTGTATTGTACAGTAGTACTTCCTTTCTTTGTTTAACAGTGTACTTTTTGCAGGGCCAGTCGTGTATAAATTATTACAACAGCAGACACTGATATCAGAAGGAAACACTTTTATAGGACGTATTACTACAGCCAACGATACAAGCAGCGTTAACATATGGAATAATTCAAGTGAGTGCCAATAAATAATAAAATATAATTTATGTACCAGCGCAGCCAAACCATCGTGCAGAGATATTAGGATGTTAAATTAAAAACACGTACTGGCATGCCGAGAAAATGTTAAGTTGTATCCCGGTCAGACAACAGCTTTTTCAGAAACACATGAGTCGAACGGAGGAGGAAGTTTCAGAAGAGTTCCAGCTGTCATGGAGGAAGTTTAATGGCTGGGACTCAAAAGTCTGCGGATCGCCTTAACCACAGGATTCAACTTTTATGTGGCTGAACCCAGATGCTGCTCCACATCCGTCATTATATTTACTAAAGAGTGTAGGTTTCTAAAGATGAGTTGGCATAAATATACTATTTTTTTGGCATAATATTTCATAATCATCTAATCTATTTTTTATCTTTTTCTTTTCTTTATTTCTGTTGTTAATTTAAAGTTGATCGAACTTCTGACGTCCTCTCAAAAACGCGGGCGTTCCCTACGTGAGCCGTTCTTGGCCCTGATTGGTGGATTTGGCCCCTGCACCTGCGCCGCTGCTGCTGTTGGTGAGTGAGTCTGTTACTGAGTCAGAGGAGGAACACGAGGTGACACTACACTGAGGATTTAACAAATATATTCTATAAAGAGGAAGGTTGGTGAGTAAGACAGTCTGTATTATTTACTTTTTTTTGTTTAATTATTCGATATTTACCGGTTCCTGTGACACTTCCGGTTCTTTTTTTTTCTACTATGTGTAGTTATTTAGGATTGTTTTTGGAGTAAACTCTTCATAGCTCTGGCAAACATCTTTCCTAGCTCTGCTAACTACACCAAATGTCTATGGTTTCTCGTCCTCTTTTTGCAGTGTCTTGTTTAAAGAGAATAACGTTAGCAAACAGCAGGTTTGCCACAATTGGGGTTTAATGTTTACCTGTAGAAATTACTTTGAATGGTGGATTCTATGCCGAATATTTCATCGACTTATATAAATATGGTAAATTGCATCACAAGTGACGGGAGACATTTTCTTAACAGTTAAGAAGAAGGTATTTCAAAATGAACAATTTTTCAAAGAGGTTTTGTTTATCGTTAAGCATAGTAAACAAGTGCTTCGACAACGACCATAAGTGACAAATGAAACAGAAACAGAAAAAAATCTTAGCTTAAATTTCTTTAGTTGCTATGAATAAGTAATGAGTTTACTTTTCGTTTAATTTTGCTTTATTTGGGGGGAAATTATGTAATTGTTGGGAACAAATGGCATTCAAAATATGTTGTTTTGTTATTTCTGTATTTTGGCATATTTTTTTCTATTTTTGCCATTTTTATTTTAGAAAGAAATGAAGAAATATATTTTTGATAAATAAATTAAAATATTTAACAAACTGATTCCACAGCTTCTTGTCAGATCTGATTGGCTGTAAGTGGGGAGCCTTCCGTCCATCATCCTGGGATTGGATATACAAATGGAGGAAGTGTTGATTCTAAAATCTGAGACAAGTTCTAATGGCTCTCCTCAAGACTCGGACCTCCAAGAATCTCTCGCTCTGCCTCCCAGTATGTGTGTTATTGCTGCTGCTGCACCTCCTCTTCTTCCACCACCACCACCACCACCACCACCACCACCTCCTCCTCCACCACCTCCACCACCGCCTCCTCCTCTGAACCCTTCTTTCAGCTCCCGGAATGCCCATCGGAAATCCATGAAAAAGCTGAACTGGGACACTCTGCCCAGTCAGCGTGTTCTGGGCACACTGAACGTCTGGACCTCTAATCGGCCTCAGAGGGACCTGGTTCTGGACATTCGAAGCATGGAGGAGTTGTTCAGTCACATAGACAAGCGGGCCTCCCTACGTAACCCGGGGATCATGGGGGTGAGGAAGAGCGCCGGCATGGAGCTCCTTCTACAGGAGCCACAGGTGAAGACGTTTCTGTTTTGGAAAACTTTGTCAATGGTGTTAAAAATCCAACATATATTTGTACTTAAAACTTAGACAATATCGGGCTGTAGTTAGGGAACTAATCAACTGACCAGTAGGAAGTGAGGTTTATAACTTCCACTCCACTTAAAGCACCAGTGAGGAAGTGTTAATGCAGAGAGAGTTGGGGAGAATTTTGACTTCCCTGTTACCTGAACACAGTGGTCCTAATTTTAGTATTTATCTTCAAACTCAGTCCAAATATATACACTATGGTGACACTAAAAATATACTTTAATGCTAATAAAGTTGAATACTGTGGCATAATTTAATTCTTGAAAGGTGTCAAATAAACTGCTTTTTTACAAATACCAATACTTTTTATGCTTCTAATCAAAAAACATGTCAAACTACAAGTTAGTAGAAATATTAGCAATAAACAGTATCAATAGCAGTGGTTCCCAAAGTGGGGGTGGGGACCCTCTTTGGGCAGTGTGGGGCTATTTCCATAGAGGTGTTTTTTTGTAAGGCAATGCAATTTTACATTTCAGTTTTATCTTTATCTGGCCCACAGTGCTGACATTTGTTCATTATTATCTTCTTTTTTTTTTCTTGAATCTTTTGCTAAATTTGACATTCGACCCTGTGGTGTTAACATTTGTGCCCTTCCTCTCTTCAGGTCACAATCCTGGACTCTAAGAAGAGTATGAATGTTGGAATTTTCCTCAGACATTTCAAAAGGTAAATAAAATCAATGAGACTAATTTGTAATAATACATTTTTAAGAAAGGATTCGGTGTTTTGTGGAGAACTGTTCTTCAGAGTCACAAACAGTTCCAGTAACTCGGGAACAACTTTTTACTACTCTGATCTTTGCCCCCGTCGTCAGCCTCTGTATCTGAGGGAACAATATGCAAATGTATCCAAATGACCTTTCAAGCATTGTTGATATAGCAGTATATGGAGCGGTGTTCTAGAGTACATGTCATAAACCAGGGTGATGACACTTTGAATATCAAATGTCTGTGTCAGAGTGTCCTCTCAAATACAACACTGACACATTTGTCTGGGATCATGTGTTGGATGTTGTTACAGCTTTTTTATGTTTCTATTATTATTTAATTAAAACATAATGACAGTGGTATTTTATGGAAACAACGCCACCTTGTGTGTATGCCTCATAATTAGAGATGTTTGTTTCATTGTGACTTCATATTTTATATGTGACTCTGTGTGTGTTGTGATGATTTCTTTCTTGTTATTGTCTTTCGTCTGTGTCTGCAGACCAGTGACTGAAATGGTCCAGGACATCCATCAAGGAAACTGGCTCAGATTTGGAGCAGGAAAACTGAAAGAACTCTGCAAACTGCTGCCGGAAAAAAATGAGGTAAGAGATGTGAACAGCCAATCAGAAGACAGTCATAATGCTTTCAAATTTTGGTTGGCATAAGTCAATGAATGCACATACATATATCATCTATTTTGTTCTATAATTTATTATGTAAAATTAAGATCACACGTTGATTCATCTTCAATTCATTCTTCTCCTGTAACTAAATAAACAACAATATAAATAAATAGAATGACTGCTTTTTTCATTTCCTTTGTGGTTGATGCTCAGGTGAAGCAGCTGCTGTCCTTCACTGGGAACCTGTCAGCGTTACCAGAAGCTGACCAGTTCATGGTGCAGCTGGTCAAGGTACCAGGGTGAGTAGAACGGAAGGAATGGAACTCTTTCAGCCATTGCATTTGATTTATATATATCTGTGTGTTTATGTATATATATGTAGACATATACATACATATATATGTTTATGTATGTACCGTATGTGTATGTAAGCGTCCCACTCATTTCTGTCCCTGTCGTGTCTCCCAAAGCTACGTGGAACGTCTGAAGATGATGCTGTTAAGGGAGGAATTCTTTCCTCTCGTGGAGGAGGTAAAGAACTCTGTTTCTGTCATGACCAAAGCAGCTAATGGTAGGTGTTTACACTAGTACTTTACCGACACCACGTAAAGCGTTTCTTCGTACTAAGCTCCTCGCCTCCTTGTCCTCTCTCCTTGTCCTCTCTCCTCACTAGAGCTGTTGGACTGTGACGACCTCCACTCAGTCATCAGGCTGGTTCTCAAGGCTGGGAATTACATGAACGCTGTTGGTATTTTTGTCTTTTCATCAGTGTTTACAGTCTAGATACGGGCCGTATGTTTGATTGGTTTCGCTGCTACTGAGTGATGACTTGACTGTTACTGTTCAGGGTGGTTACAGCGCCAATGCCATTGGCTTCAGGATGAGCTCTCTGCTCAATTTGGCCGACACCAAGGCCAACAAGCCCGGCATGAACCTCATGCACTACGTGGCCAAGGTGAGAATCCCAACAAACGCTGCAGGAAAATGTTGTGGAACAAGTTTGGTCCTTAAAAACTCAATCATCATGTTCCACCTACAGCAAGCAGAGGACATCGATGCTGAGCTGCTGACCTTCCACAGCCAGCTGGAGAACATCGGCATGGCGTCAAGGTGTCATAACACACAACAGTTTGTCCTTTTCCATTGTTGAAGTTCATGCCATAAACTGACTGTGTTTTTGTTTTTTTTTTTGTTTTTTTTTTCCTTCATCAGAGTTTGTAAAGATGAGGTGGTGGCAGACTTTGACAGAGAGGTGAAGAAGATGAAGGAAGTGAAGCTGTACAGCAGCAGACACCCCGACCTCCTGCAGCAGATGGAGTCATTTCTCATGGTGACGTCCAGTCTTAGTTTTTTTTTAAGAGCAAATTATCACAAAGAAGAAGAAAAAAATAAACATTGTTTTTTACATCGGCTCTTGTTGTAAATTCCCAGAGAGCCAACGCCAAAGTGGCCGACGTGGAATCTTCTCTCCACCAGCTGAACTCTCTGAGTGATGCTGTGGCCGAGTACTTCTGTGAAGATCCAACCACCTTCAAACTGGAGGAGTGCTGCTCCATCTTCCACTCCTTCTGCAAGCGCTTTGACAAAGCAGTGCAGGTTGGGAAATGAACCATATACATGTATGTTAGTATTAAAGATTGTTGAATGACAGTGAGGGTGTTCAGGGAGTGTCCAAATAAATACATATTTGGACATTTTAAGAATATTTTTCTCATCTAAACTGTCCAGGCGAACTGATGTTGGTCTCTGTGGCCCACATTCTAGCATTGGGCTACTGGGAAAAAGGGCAAATGGGCCACCAGAAGCCTAAACAAAAATGCAAATGAATCTATACTTGTGCAGGAGTTGACGTTCTGTGGCCCACATTCTAGCATTGGGCTGCTGGAAAAAATGGCAAATGGGCAACCAGAAGCTTAAAAACCAACTGTCATGAACACTGGGTGGAATCTTAACTTGTGCAGGAGTTGACGGATTCTGCTGCCATCTTGTGGCAGGATATTGTAACTAAGATGTCACATAAATACAGCTATACAAAATGTTGTGATTTAAGTTTGTGTTCAAACTCTGGGTCGGGGACAAATTGTGGTTTATCTGGGTTTCTTGAATGTTTCCTGTGTTTCTGACTGATAATGCATTTTTTAAAATATTTTGTTGAAGCAACTGGAACTATAATTGGTATGTCCTAAAGTATTGTTAGATTACATTTTATTTGACTTGTTTATATGGACATTTATTGTTTGGAAAACTGCATGCAGTTCTCAGATCTATTCACTTCAGAATGGATATGTCACATGTCATGTACTTGTTTGCAGGAGAACCGAGAAAGAGAGGAGGCAGAGAAGAGGCGCAAGCGAAAGGAGAGCATGCGTTTTGCAGCCAAACGACGATCCACAATGTGCAGCTCAGAACCCGAGCCGGTCCAGGACTCGTCCGGCCTGGAGTCGGCCTTGCACAGTTTTCTGTCCACTGTTCCACAAGGTTTATCCAGATGTAGGAGGAACATCCTGCCCCCCATCGAAGGATCGCCCTCCAGCCAGGATTCTCAGACTCCTTCATCAGCAGAAAAAAAAGAGACTTCTACCAAACGTCACAGTCCTGAAGTCAAGTCGCCCAAAATGCTGAAGGAGATCGAGCGAGAAGAAGGATCAGAAAACCAAGAGGAAGCTGAAAAGATGCGAGAGGTTACACGGAAAGTTCTAAAATACCAAAACAGCAAAAGCAGCCTGGACGAAGAGACACTTCCAGGGACACCTTGTCGGTTGCCCGTTGTGCAGAACACTCCCAGTACTCCTTGTACTCCGCGACCAAGAACCAGAGACTTCTTCTTTGCCAACAATGGAGATTTGGGTTCCCCGTGGACCATCCTGAGCCCTTTCACTTCTGACCAAAGAATCATGAGACCCGCTCACAGGCGTAGGGGGTCGCTGCCCTCTGGTGAGGAGGATGATGCAGTCTGGCAGACGGTTGAAGCAGGAACAAAGCCTCCATCTGGGAGTTCTGGTTCTGTTCCAGAGTCCACTCACCATAGACCTGTGTCCCAGGGTCCTGTTGTAAGGTCTGTCTCCGTGGATGAATCAAGACTTTCACCGTTGGCTCGGTTCAGGCTGGGAGAACTGTTCCAAAGGTCGTACTCCTCTGGTTCCAAGACAGAGACTGTAGAAGGAGAGGAGGTTTCGCTGCTTCGCAGTAAAACCAGGAGTCAGGTAGAAGGTCCAGGAAGTGGCTCTGGACTCGTGTCCTTCTTCAGACGAATCGGAGGCAAAAACAAACCCAGTGATGTGGAAGAACAGCCACTGACTGGATGTAAAACTTAACCAACGTCAAGCTCTTAGTCTTATTTTTTTTAAAATTCTGTCTTATTTGTGTTTTTCTCCACTGTCATGGTTTTCCCCTTCAGTGGAACCAAGGCAACCAGAGACTTGCTTTGAACTGTAGCAGCTTAAAGTTTTAGAAGTCGACCCACGTTCAAAAACTGTAACGTGTCCTGTCACTTCTGTCTATTTTTTGTGTCCAATAAAGGTTGAGTTTTTCAATCTTTTTAAGTTTACTTAGGCATGGAATATACAAACACACACCTTGGCTGCGAGAGAAAAGTTACGTACGTTTATCTCGACTTTCAGCTGACGCTCTGATTACAACTGAATGGCACTGAATAGGATTCATTGTTGCCGGGGGATCCACCCTCAGCCCCCGCCTCAGGACCATCTGCCCACTGTTTCTGCCCCACTGTGGGGACTCTCCTCAGCAGTAACTAAGATATTTGGACAGAAACGTCTTGTGTTGCTCGGGCGACTGGGGTTTGTTTCTGTCCGTTTCATCTGAGCCCTCACAGTGTAACAGTAGCCTGGAACAAACAGCTCAGCTGAGACTGACTGACTGACTGTGTGGCCTTGTCCTCCCACTGCTCTGAGCTCACTGGGGACATTTGCCCCGGCCTGGCATTTTAAAAGCCTGGACGTAATGAGTGGGAGGAAAAAGGAGGGAATCAGAAAACTCCAAAATGACTATTCCACTATTCCAAAACAGTTTTCCTTTCTCAAAATCAGTTGCAAAATTTAACTAAATGTAACTAAGATCCTGACTACATGTTAGCTAACCTTTACCTGCCCTATTATGTAGCTTTTTTGCTGCTATTTTGCAAATTTGCTTGATTTATTTATTTTTTTATATTTAACAAACTTGGGATCAAACTCACTGAAGCTAAATTGACTAGCATGACTCCAAGACTTGGCCAACCGCTACTGTAGTTTTAGCTATATTTTTGATTAATCTTAAGACCCACTGTAGCTGTTGTGCAAAAGTATATTTTATAAAAAATATAAATTATGTGCCCCCCCTCCATTTTTTGGCACTTCAGCATTTAGCTAACTTTAATCTGTTTTTGTGGCTAACCCTTAAATGTGCATGTAGTTAGGCTAAGATAATTTCCAGTCCAGAATCTACCTTTCACCTTTGACCTCTTGGCCTTTTCTACAGCTGTTGTGCAAAAGTATATTTTATAAATTTCTAAAAATATAAACTATGTGTCCCCCCCTTCCACCTTTTGGCACCCCAGCACCTAGCTAGCTTGTATCTGCTTTTGTGACTAACCCTTAAATGTGCATGTAGTTAGGCTAAGATAATTTCCAGTCCAGAATCTACCTTTCACCTTTGACCTCTTTTGGTCTTTTCTTTCTATTTTCTGATGAGACTCTACGACAGCTGAGCTTTTCTCATAAATATTAATGTACACGTTTCCACTGGCGGTTCCTCGGAGCATGACGTCACTGTCTTCAGTGTTGACTGACCTGCGTGATGTGAAATTAGAACCTCTGTGTATAATAATAATGGGCTGTTGTGTTCTGATATTCTGTTACAGGGTTTCTAGGATCATCTCAGGGGCGGCAGCTCCTCAGGAGGTAAGGTGACCTCACATAGTTTCACTCTCTCCAGGGTTCTGTATGTGTGTGTGTGTGTGTCCACTTTCTAAATGAGAACATTCTGCATGTCCCCATTTAGCAAAAAGGTACTTCAGGTTCAAGATTAAGGTTAAAGTTAGGATTAGAATTAGGATAATGGTTAAGGTAAGGGGCTGGAAACTGTGCTATGTCTATGTGAAAAGTGTGTGTGTGTGTGTGTGTTCCACAGTGAAAGATGAGACTGGAGCAGAGGAAGGAGGCGGAGTGGGGAGAGAAACTTGGAACAAGTTTTCTTGTAAAAGGCTGAACAGAAAAGAAAGTGTGAGAGGAGTGAGGAGGCCAAAGAGGAGGTCCTGGTCCTGTGTCGGAGCCGCATTTTAAAGGGAACGACAGCAGAGCCAGTAACAAACCTGTGACAAACGTTTATCTTTGGGAAACCTGGACCGTCGTCGTCCAGGTAGGATAATGTTTCACATCATTTTAAGACCAGACTTGAATGTGTTTGTTTATATTTTTAGTTTAACGAAATTGAAGTTTACATTCTGAGATTAGGAGTAAATTACAAGTAATTTAAAATGTTGTTGTTAAATCAAACAAACTAAAAGTTTGTCTACAAATAAGGCTAATTCATTTATTAAAGTTGAAATAAATTTAATTGTTGTCAGTGTCTTGCAAAATGTCAAAAAAAAAAAAAAGGCCAACAAAAAAATAGCTTAACAATACGTGTTTACTCTTTACTTCATCTTTGTCCGTTTGTGTTGAAATTCCGTATTTTATATTCGGCAGAATCGCAATAACATCCTTTTTTTTTTTAAGTAAAATTCTATCGATCTAGCGAGTCCCAAAGAATTGACCCCGACGTGATTTGAACACGCAACCTTCTGATCTGGAGTCAGACGCGCTACCGTTGCGCCACGAGGTCAGCTGTCGTAAACGGCCTCCACTTTTCAATATGAAGTGACATGACCTTGTATTATTTATTCAGTCATTCTCGTGATCTGGTCGTTGGTTCCCTTTGTATATCGTTGTATATCAGCCTTTCCTATTCGTTTTAGGGGATAACGCGAGACTTAAACCCATTTGTTCGTACATGTCCACTGTAATTTATAACTGAAACCCTACGTTTGGCTCCTGACTCAGATAACAAAAAAATGTTTTATTTTAAAGAAGAGGATGACTCGAGACCGCGTTTCTGTTTTCGATCAGTTTTTATCAGCAATGGATGAATATAGTGACAGTGACGGAGGTGTTTTGTCTCACATGTGCCACTAGATGGCGTAGTTTCCATCAGTATTTTAAGTTACAGGCTCAAGTCAACCTTTGAGCTACTTTTGCTCAAGTATTGGAAAGTAAATCCTATTTTATATATTTTTTTTTTTTTACCTATATTTTAAATTGTCCCATTATCCCATTTTTTGTCTTTTAGAAATCGGATGAATTTTGGTTACCACCAAACAAACAAACAACAAACTCATTTTGAGCGGTCTATTCAGAGCAAAATGGAAAGGTAAGTTTTTCTTTTTCTTTCACTTCTTCTTCTCTGCGTTCAGTGCCCACAGGACAACACGGATACCACTTCCTGTAGCCGTTTCAGTATGATCAGCTGTGCCATTATCATCATCACCATCACAGTCAAAAACAGTCATTATATTAGTCACCCACCTTTAAATAGAACTCTGTCCTCAGTGATTAGAGAACCTGCTGTTGTGTGGTGTCTGCACTGATGAGATGTTTTATTATTTATGTCCATGTTTCTGCAGCACCAAACGTTCAAATATTTTAGATGCTGATGTGTTTTTTTATTATTCCTGTTTACATTTTACAGTTTAGATACACAGACTGTAGTTTCAGACAAAACAAGAAAAAAATAAGACTTTTTTTCCCCAAGTACTTTTGTCTGTACTTGGAGAAAAATGACACATTAATGATGTTGTTGTGTAGATTGTGTGAACACACACCCACACTTACTGTACAAAGATTATTTTCCTGGTCAGTGAGTCAAGAGTCTGTTTGTATCTGCAGGGTTTTCAGAACCTGAGCAAAGATGAGCTTTTTACACTTACAGGTTGGAGGGAGAGAGAGGGAGGGAGGGAGTTAGAGGGGTAGAGTCCCAGCCGTCTGTGTTTTCTGCGGCAAAGGATGCAGTCGCCATGGCAACATGGTGCTCCCGCAGCAGAGTCCTGGGAAGATGGTCTGGTCTATGACAAAAGTCTGGACCCAAACAACAAAATGAGAAGTTTTACATCAGTAAAACTTGTCAGAAGAGGGAGGGAGTTAGAGGGGTAGAGTACCAGCCATCTGTGTTTTCTGCGGCAAAGGATGCAGTCGCCATGGCAACATGGTGCTCCCGCAGCAGAGTCCTGGGAAGATGGTCTGGTCTATGACAAAAGTCTGGACCCAAACAACAAAATGACAAGTTTTACATCAACCACCAATTGTTTTGTCAGTAAAATCTCTTAATCAAAATGTCTTTTTATTTTCAACAACCAACTCCGTTCAATTCTATCATTGAGACAAAAACATTGAGACCCTCACTTTTTTTTTTTACAAATTATCTACTGGCAAAAATAATCTCTCAGAAAAACTAACAGTTCTGAGATTTTGCTGTTGTTCCTTTTCATGTCCACATGAAGTCATCCACCACAGAGGGTAAATATGAGGAGAGGGAGGGAGAGACTGAGAATTCTCTCCCTCTTTGTTGCCATATCGCCTGCGGGCTGCTCATCTCAGACATGATTGGAGCTCAGGCCACCGCCCATTTTCACAGGAGCCAATCAGCTTGTACAATATCTGCATCTCTGTATCCCCCAGTCTTTCTCTTGCTCTCTCTCTCTCTCCTTCTCCCTCTCTCGCTTATCCCATCATGCACATCCATGCATTCGCGCAGGATGTGTGTGTATGTGTGTGTGTCTCCTTTGACTCCCCTCCTTGGTTTGCTGATGATGACGGTGGGTTTTAAGGACACATGTGTCTCCCACTGGAGGAGAACGTGCTGAGAACTTCCCCCCCATCGTTCTCTCGCTCTCTCACCTGTCAACAGCCTGCTGTAAGTAAAGCTCTCTCACTCATTTCATCAACCTTTGCTGATTTCCAACCACATACTGATTTCCTTCCCTCTCCTTTCCTTTCCTTCCCTCTCCTCTCCTTTCCTTCATGTCTCCTTCTAGATCTCCTTATTCATCCCTCACCTTTTTTCGCTCTGCTGCAACCATACACTCGCTGCGTGCAGAATGTTGCTGCAGGCTGCCTTTGCTTTTGGGGGTCTGTTTTGCCGAAACTGAATGTTTTTGAATGAGCAGCTCGTGTCTGTGTTTCTCTGCTTCCTGACTGTTTAAATATGAGACGAGACAAAAGCTGGAGTTCTTAGTGAGGAATTTAAAAGTACCAGAATTTCTCATTAGCGACACTGAGTCAAAAATTCTGAGTCTGAGAAATGCATATTTGAAAATGCAGGTTTACCTGGACGTCATGTCCACTGCTAACCTTTAGCTTTTTGGGGCTAACTGTTTGTCTTAAATTTAGGCAGTAATGACTTTTGTTTATCGTTATTTGGGGTATTTGTTTGCTTTATTGTTTACTCACTTGTTGCATCACTTATGATAATTCTCATCTTCTCATCTGTAAATCCAAGTTAAAGAGTTATTGAGAGAAAGAGAAAAAAAACGAGGTACTATGAAGAAATTCTAGTTACAACGTACTTTTTTTTTTACATTAAATATTTAATTTAACTGTGAATTTGAATTGTGGTTGGAATACAGTTGGTTTGAAGTTCAGATTCAGCCACAGTGTGTTTTTGAAGTGGGTTTAATGTGCATTAAAAATGACCCATAGCTTGTTGTTTACCACTGTAAAAAAACAAAAAAAGGTAAATGCAGTTGTCAAAATGTGATGCATTTTTATTAGACTTTCTTAGATTCCATTTTGTCCAATAGGAGGAGCAGTTTGATTCCAGACTTTTTATTTTTTAAATACTGCAGCTGCCTGGGAGGAAACACTGTTGTCATAGCCAATGTGTGTGTGGCGTTTTCTCCTCTGCTGCTGAGAGACAGATCAACTCAGTCCTCGCTGCTGGTCCTGAAGTCAGGCACAAGGACATTCTCTAAAAAGGTTAAAATAGTAGAGCGGACGGCTCCTCTGCTGTGTGTGGAGGGACGTGGGGCCTGGAATGTTCAGCTGGCACGGCAGGAATGTCACCAAAGCTGCAGTGGGAGGGAGGACGGGGGAGAGAGAGAGAGAGAGAGGGGGATGTAAACTTTGGAACACGCTGAAATGATGAACTCAGGAGGCGACACTTTTTACAGATGCAGTTTTTTTCCTGTACGGCCGTGGTTCATGATGAATGGTTGGTGCTGATGGTGTGACGGTGCATAGATCAGCATCAGTACGCTCTTCTGTTAGTGCACAGTAAAGGTCGTTCACACAGGGACAAAGTAAAGTGAATGGACTGGGGATAAAAAGGCAGAGCAGGTGGGCCGCAGCCTAGAGGTCATAACTGTGTGTGTGTGCATTTGTTCATACTCATGCATGGTCACGTTGTAGGGTGTGAAGAAGGTCACTGAGGTGATTAAGACCCCAGTCACTGACCCGTGTCCTGATGGATGGGTTTTAACAGACAGCACTGACCAGGTTATGACGTTTGTGAGGATTTTACTGTAGAAAAAAACTTCATCTACTGTTAAAAAATACACTGTGTTTTCACAGTGTTTCTGCTCCTGACACCTGACACTCCATGACACTGTGTGTGGTCCCAGCTTATGTCCACTATCTTTCCTCCCCCCTGTATTTATCACGTCGTCCATCCTCAGGGTAAACACTGCTGGGGACTACACTTGACAATCTGTGGTTAAATATTCAGCCGATCCCAAACTCTAATCTCAACACAACAATAGACTGTATTTTGTGCTGCCGTTTTTTTCTCAGCCGCTCTGAATGCTAGTTAAGCTGCAAATCGCGGATGTATTCCCACAATGCACCAGTGGTCACTGTCTCGATTGGACTCTTTGAAGCGATCATGTGGTGTTGCTTCGTGACTTTCTGCTCTCACAGCATTTACCAAATAGTAATGTGAGTGAAATTCAGAACGACACGTTTCCTGCTCTGACAACAATGGGAATTAAGCCTCTGCCCTAGAAAGATATTGTTGTTGTTTTTAAAAAAAAAAGATATAATTAAAGACCATGCTACGGCAGTAGGGACTCAGTTGTGAGGACGATGAGGAGATACTGATGTCCTGGGAGGAGTGTGTCCAAATCTATCTGTTTTTACTTCTTCTTTCTGTTGTTGCTGCTGCTGCTGTTGTTGTTGGTGTGTTTGGATTCCGGCCTCTTACCTAACCCAGACGATGACACACATCTAAACCTCCCACATAAACACTCAGATATCTGCATGAGAGCGGTGTTTAACTCCGACCCGTCTCTCTGCTCTGCTCTGACATGTTTATGTAAATCCTGTATATGATTAGCTCAGGCTAGCGTCCGTTCCTTCAGTTATTTAAAGAAACACATTATTTCAGGATCAGATCCTTTCAGCCCGCGGTTGTGTCCTGCTTTTACTGGAACAGTTTGAGTCAGAGGGTCAGTGGAGAAGAAGGAAACATTGATGTGCATTTTACATCATTTCGTACTTCTACAATTTTATTCTGCATAAATAATGTGCAGGAAACTTGTTTTGTAGGATGTAATTTTTTTTTTTAAAGTTCCAGAATAAAACCAGAACTTTGAACAATCAGAGAACGGAATTTAAGCTCTCATTTTGGTTTCATTTTTAAAACTTTAAAATGCTAATTTTATATAGTTCATTTAACATCCTTCAAAAGTCAGTCCATTAAGTTTGACCAAATAAAATGGCTAAATATTAGCCGGAAACGAAAAAGTAAAAGTGAGTCAATTACAGAGGAAAGTTAGCAAAAAGAGTGGAAAAGATTGCTAACTGTAATTAGCTAACAGATAACAGATTCACATTATTAGACAAAAACTCCAAAAGAAGCCATAAAATAATGATCGTTAAATAATTAGTAAAGACATCGCTACAGCGTAGCTACGTCAGTTGGATTCTGATGGATTCTCTGGTACAACAGATTAAAAGTAGCGATAAATTGCGTTGTAGAAGCAGTGTAGAGGTTGCCCTCTTGTGGACATAGGTGATATAGCGTACGTGTGCGTTATAAATATACCGCTTCAAACTGCTGTACTACTACTACTACTACTGCTGACTCACAATGAATCACACGTGTAAATGTGAGTGTGAACGGTTGTGAATTAGATGTCAAGACTTCAGATTGTTTCACGTCACCTTAGCAAGTGACTCATCCAGTCGTGACTGCTCGCCGGGCCAAGGGTTTCTGAACTTCAGTGTTCAGAGTGCGTGTGCATGTGAACAGCTGAGTGCACGAGCCTGTCGGTGGTGGTGCTGTGAAGGGATGAGAAGTGATGGCGCTATAAATAAACGTGTATATGTAGTGTATATGTGCTGTATGTATGTATGTATGTATGTAGACGGAGGCTTAGG